CTTGCTTTTTCTCGGCTTCAGTTCTTTTTTTACTTTTATCGACTTCATCTTGTGCTTTTTTTCAAATTTTTTCTAGTTTATAAATACTCTTTTGATATTCACCAACAGTAGTATCACCATTAACACCCATCTCAAATAATCTACCATTATTGAAGCAAACAATCATATAACCAAGATTATTTTGGTGCTTATTTAAACAAAGGCGTGCTTCACTGCATTGCTTTTCTATATCAGTGATCTTTTCTACTTCTTTAATGTCCTCTTTAATTTTGCTTAGAACACGTTCGACAAAAATATAGTGTTTAAAAAGATTTAGGTATTCTTGCTGATCTTTCATAAAGGGATTTTACCAAAAAAAAAAAAAAAAAAAAACTCAAAGATTTATCCTTTCAACAGTCAAAAAACTAATACTCCTCCACCGATTAACATTATCTTATCCATGGTTTTCAATTTATCAAGGCCGAGCATTTTCATTAAGTTAGTTCCTCCTAATAATTGCTGCCGCATGGTTTTTAAATCACCAAGTAATTGATTATATCTATCTTCACCTTGTTTTAAAGTGTTAGTAAGAATAGCGATTTGTTGATCGATACTTTCTTTGGTTTCACCATCTTTAAGCGGGATGGTTCCGTTCTTTTTCCCAAAGAGTTCAGTGAGCATGGCTTTGGTGTTTTGATTTTCTTTAAGTTGATTTTCGGCTGCTCTAACTCCATCGCGATATCTTTCATTTTCCAGCAATTTCTTTTCGGCTTCTACATTTTCCTGATCTATCTTATCGCCTAAGAAGAAGCCGCCTACTGTTCCGCCGCCAATTATTCAGGGAGCGGCAGTAGCAGCAACCAAGGGAGTAGCCATGCCTCCACTTATTACACATACTCCAATGGCTGCGGCACATCCGATACAAGTACAAATTCCTTTTCAGATTCCCATGGTTATTTAGTAATATTAGAGTTAGTTTTTAGTTGGCTAACTTCTGCTTTTATTTTTATTATTTTGTTTTTGTAATTCATAATTTCAGTTTCTCAGTTATTTATTAAATTTTCAATTTGTTGTATTTTAGTTTCTAAAATCGTTATTGGTTGATTTGTCATGTTTTTATCTGTTTGCTAATGATTTAATTATTTGGTCAACTTTTGTCATTATTTCGCTAATTTTACCATCCTTTCTAGATGTTTCTAATTCATCTATTAAGTTGTCTAATTGTTTTTCGGTGTTTTTAATTAATTCGCTTAAACGAACATCTAATACTTTTTCCATGGTCAGTTTTTGAACGCTTTCATAGGTTCCATCAAAACTAGTTGAATATTTTTCTTTAATGTGTCAAAAGAATTCTAAAAACTCACCCATCTCAATTTCTACTTCTTTTTCATTCTCATTACTTTCTTGCTCTTTCTTACTTTTAGGAATGTATTTAGCATCCGGATTGTTTTCAATAAATAAGTTTCAAAATTCTTTCCTTTCGGAGACATCATCATCTTTACCTAAAAAGTAACGTTCAAAAACATCAATATTAAACTCGGCTAATCATTTTTCATCCTCAGGAACTAATTGATTAATGTCTTTTCATCTTTTTGGTAAGTCAACTCCGTTATTCTCACAAAAATCCTTAAATACTTTTCAATTTCATGTAAAATCAAGTGGATTACTTAGTCTTCCCTTACGAAAGGTGGCTTTTTCTACTTGGTCTACATGATTAGTAGCAAATGCTCATAAATTCTTACTATCTCTATCCTTATCTGTACTTTCTAAACAATCTTTAAGAAATTTCAACTGATTTGGTTGAAAAATTAAAGAATTATTGCTAATTTGGTTTGCTTCATCAACAAAGAGCATATACTTAACTTCTCCGTTTTCTTCCCTTTCAAAACCATAATCTTTAACCAAACTTCATTCTAACTCGCTAATGGTATAAGCGAATTTATGTAAGGGAAGTATTTCGGCTTTTTGATCAGCATCAGTAGGAGTTAGGTCAGAACCCGCAACAACTACTAATGGATACTTATTAGCTTTCACGCAAAGATTTCTCATGGTTTCTGTCTTTCCGGTGCCGGGAGCACCATAAAAAAGAGCATTGTTGCCTAACCCTTCTTCATAATTTCCTCGGGTCGGATCTGCTTCTGCTCGCTTAATTCAAGACTTAATTTCATCTGATAAAATCAAATCTTTTTCTTTCTCTAATATCTCACAATTTTCTAATTCTAATCCTTTACCTTTATCATAATAACTTTGGAGAGATGGCGGGAAGAAAATTTTATAAGGTGCTGCTCGAGAAAAATAAAACCTTTCATCTTTATCACCATCTGGAAATAAACTAGCAAATTTTTGATATTCGCCTAATAGCGAGTTCTTTTTACCATTCACTATCCTATCCGCTCAACTGTAAGCAGGTAATTCTCATATTCTACCTTTTTCTCAAGCATTTTCTTCTTGTTCGATTTTTAATTCTTCTTCGGTTCGATCATCCGTATTTTGTTGCTTTTTGCTTTTCTTTTCTTCTTCCGGTAAATAAATAAAAAAATAATATCCTAACCCAACTAGCAAAACCATTAACAAAACTTGTTTTTGAAGTTTCTTTTTATCAGTCTTTTTCACTGATTGCTGATTATCAAAATCAAAATATTTATCTACATTATACATAGTGTTTATTCATATCCTTTTAGTTTCTAAAAGCATAAAGATAAGTTTCTATCACTTATTCTCTTAATCTCTTAAAAAAAGCCATTTGCCTCATTATCTTTTCCTCTGCCTCTTTTTCTTTTTTATCATCCTTTATTACTTTCTTATCTGATTTAGTTAGTCAGTAAATAATCAGTAATAAAAAGACAGTTAGAGCAATTAAAATTAAGCCTCTTTGGTAAGGTTCTAAATTAGTGTAATAAGGACTAAATTCTTTTACTTTGTTTTCTAATTGCTCAGTAGTTTCACCGAGTTTTTGTTTAATTTCTTTAGTAGTAGTCATAATGGTTAGGTTCTTCTTGGTTTTGAGTGTAGAAGTAAAAAATAATTAGCAGAGTAACACCAGCAAAAAGGTAAATTTGCTGTTGATTAACTAATTGCTGAGAATTGTTAGAATTATTTGAATTAGTATTTCTTGGATTTCTAGAACTAGAAGAAGTTTGCCGAGGAACATTACCTTTAGTTAATTTCTTTAAGTCATCTAAATAACTAAAATTACCTACTTCCATTAAAGGATTAGTTTTTATCTTTTGTTTGATCCTTTCGGCGTTTTGAGATGCTTTATTGGCTAAAACAATAAATTCTGCTTTTTTAGTAGGATCAGTCTCACTATTAGCCTTTTGCAAATTTTCTTTATAAGCACTTTCGGCAGTCCGGGCTTGACTTTCTAAATCTAAAAGTTCTTTTTGGTGTTTAGGTTCTAGTTTTTGAATACCTTGCAATTGTTTTCTAAATTTGCTAGAAAAATCATCCAAAAATGGTTTTAAGAAACTGCCAAAGTAATCATTTCAAATACAACAAACACTAGCTATTGAGTAAGAATCAGATGCTTGACATTTGTTAATACAATCTTGAATTTTATTGATCAATAATTGTTTTCTTTGGTTAAATATTTGCTCGTTAGCAGAAAGTTTTATTTCTCCAACATCATCGGCTATACTATTAATACTGTTAAAAAACTGTGCTAAACTTTCACAGTCCTCTTGTAAATTATGCGAACCTCCTCAATTACATCTACTACCGCTTCAATAACCAGCATCACCATAGGCTTTATCACCCGCTTTCCTTCGGTTCTCAGCGTTCATAAAAAACATATCTTTTAAGTTCTCAGCATTAGTAAACTTTCCGGTTATTTTTTTCTTTCTTGATTTTACCATATTTATTTAAAATGTCTTTCTAATTCTTCTGCACTATATCGTGTCATATTTTTAAATCTTTAAAATTCGGTCAATTTAGTAATTAATTGCTTACAGTTTTCCGTGATTGGTTGGTTTGGTTGTTTTCAAAAAAAATAGTCCTTTTCAGTTAAGATTATCTATTATTAGGTTGCTAATTAAGATTATCAAGTATAATTCTAACTAGGTAAAAATAGTTTCTTTAAAGTCTATACTTGAAAAAGACTGTTTAGATTGATAAAAATAGTGGTGGCTTAAATCTTCCTTTCCCTATGCAATCTCTTCAATATCATCTTTTTCACCTCAATTTCTACTTTTTATTTCAAGTTTAGGATTTATTCTTTTAATTTCTCCTCACAACAAAACCACCATTTCACTAGCTGAGAATGTTCTTCCAAAAATGTTGTAACTAAGATTCGGAGATACTTGGGTCTCGATATTCCCTACTCTTTCGGTGGTGCCATCTTCTTTGACTTTTAAGAAATTACGGACATGTTTAAGGCGATTGGCTACTATCTGCTCAGGAATACCTAAATTACTCAACACTCTGTGCTTGGCATGTCACTTGTCGACACCTAATCATTTATCCTCAATGACAAAAGCTAATCTATAATTATGGACTGCAAAATCCAATTCGAGCATTTTATCTTTAAGTTCCTCCCATTCCCTTAAAACTTGTTCTCGCAACATTTTATGCTAAACTTTCTCCTAACTCCTTAAACTCCTTTAATAATTGGGTTAGAACTTTTTCATTTTCACTGTTTTCTTTAGTGATTTCTTCAACTTTACGATTACTCTCTTGAAGTTTAGTATTTTTTTCAGTAATCACTTGTTCTTTGTGGGTTAATTTAGTGGTAATCTTGGTTTTTAAGTTAGTGAATTCAGTTTTTAATAGGGCTAATTTCTCTTTTAAAGTCATATTATTTGATAGTTTGGTTTAGTTTTCTGATCTCTTTAATTAGTTCATCAAGGGTGCTTTCAAGAAGTTTTTCTTGTTCATTAGATAAAGGATCAGTTTGCACTGCTTTGCTAATACTAATTGGTGGCGGAGTAGTTAATTTCTGCTGTTCTGGTAAATAGTAAAAAAAGTAATAAAGAGTGGCTAAGGTTAGGGCAGTAAATAGTAAATCGTTCATATTATTTTAATTCGGAGTATTCTTACTTAATAATCAAGCACTAAGTAGATAAGTTCCGGCTAGTAAAATGATTAGTCCGTAAGTTTCTCCACCGTTAGTTTCTTGGGTGGGAAAAGAATTATTGCTCCTTAATTCACTTACTCGTTGGGCTAAATTTAGATCTTGTTGTAAACTAGTGATTTGCTGCTGAGCAGTCCAAAGTTTAGTTCTTAATTGACTAGTTTTTTCATCACCTTTAACTAATTCCTCACTAGCTTGCTCTTCCGTAGCATTTAGTTCTTGTTTAATTTGTTGTAGTTTATC